AAGACCGAAATGAAGACTGTGAACCGAAACCAAACTAGCGACCTTGGGAATCACTGTATTCTGCTCTAATACGACTCAGGAAGCACTCAAGATTAGGTGTCTTGAAATAATCAGACACACTAATTCAGTACGTAGGATACGAGGCAAATCTCAGATCTTGTCATCTAGAGTAAAATAAATCTAAGCGAATATATATATATATATATATACAGTTCATTTGCATATGCAAAGGAACGACTCTTCGTGAATAGAATTAATTCAGGTGCCTTTGTTCTCCCAGAATTTGAATTGAGTACCTTTATGGGTAAAATTATATTTGGAAAAATATTTAAGATATATATATATAATTTTGCTCCGCATAAGATTGTGCCCAGTTTAACTTAAATTCCCAGTAAATAAATTTGTCAAGGGTAATAATCGATTAGAAAATCCTTTTAAAGTTGTTTTATTGGCTCATTAATCTAAAATATAGAGTGCATGCTTCTCTAAAATAAGCAAGTAAGTAAGTGTGAGTAGAATTTAATGAATTCTGAAAAAAACAATACAGTTTTGTGTGGAGACATTTCAGATCAATTAACGGGAGATAAATAGCTGGGTTAGGGAATTAACTACACCAAAAGCAAATAGTTTATGCTCACAGAACCATCACAGAAATTGTTACATTGGTTACGCTATTAATTTCGTCATGGGGATTTACGAAGAGAGCGAGATATATATATATATATATATGTATATGCAAATTGGCGCCTTATCGACAAAGCCACCAAGGTAATTAATGAACAATATCTCTTCTTTATAAACGTCTAACCTCTTTGTATTGTGACGCAAAACAACGCCATATCGACTTTATGACGGAAAATTTTCAATATGTCGTCTAGGAATCGTTAGATCGCACATACTCCAACGACGAGAATTAAAAGGAGATCTAAAATTCTAACCCTAATCACAAAATTCCCCCCCCCCCCGACAGATAAATTAAAAATCAATAAATCAATGCAATAATGATTTGCTTCAATCCAAGAAACGCTGACACTCACTTTCATAAAGGTCTATCTCCTTTGAACAAAGCCTAATGATCCAAATTAAATTAAATTCCAAATTTTTCTCCTTTCACTAGGATGGATCTCAATTAGATTAGTAAGACTTTTTCAGAGAGACAAAGGAGATTTGTGTGGGCCCATATCTTAAAAATTTTTTACAAGAGGCGAGGGGGGGGAGGGGGTGGTAGGTGTAACCGCGAATTTTCCCTACAGCCTCAAGACTCAAGTGTACCGCCTTTATGCATATTAATGGGTGACAAAAACTGGCGAAAAAGACCTACGCAATTTTGGCGTAGAGGTTTCGATAAATCTGTTTTTTTTTCCCCTATCAAAATATTGGATACCTGTGTTGGATATATTTCAAGAAATGGGACAGTGAGAACTTCCACGGAAAGTAGGAGAATTAGTTTTGTGAAAGGACACAACTCAAAATGCGAAATAAAGCCAAGCTAACTTTGAAATATCGGTATTCATTAGACGCTTCACATCAAATATCTGAGTGAAAAAAAGGGGGTTAACAATAATAATAATAATAATTATAATTATAATAGAGGTCTTAATGGACTGAAAAATAAAAGAAATTGATCGAAAATTGACCTAGATCTCAGTTACTAGCACTTTTCCATATGATTTTCTATCTCATTATTGATTAAGTTAAAAGTGTAATCATGTTTAGGGATGTCCCGTAAAGTATGCCATGTTAGGGAGGTGGCAGGTTATTTTTAGTAATTATCACACAATAATTACCTTATTTAGGTTTTCCAACTCTCTTGTCAATGTCTGACTAATCTCCTTAGTAACGTCGTCAACATTGGCTCCAGTATCAGCTCCATATTTGACAAGCGATCGAAGAAGGTGGGCTGAACAACCAGCAGAAACTCCAACATCCGGTAGGATGCCACCGTTTTCACCCCAATTGGGATACTTGCTTCGATTTGAGAGCCTTGGAAACAGAACTCCAATGACTGATTCCACATCAGCGACGTTTGGAAATACGTTTGTTCCTCCAGCATTACTAGAATTTGAGTTTCTTCGAACCAAAGCATCGATTCTAGCTGTTCTTGCAGCAGAACGTGATCCGTTTACCCCAGTTGGGGGTTTGGTTGATGGTATCTGAGGTAGAGTCAGAAATCCAAGAGATAGCTTGTGTTCTGGTACTGTACCTGGGTCCTTGTAGATGAACACATAAGTGAGATTTTGTGATTCAACTCTCAATATATCTCCAGGTTCAAGACATCGGTTAACCGGAAAACTGCTAGAGTCTGTTAGAGTCTCCCAGTTGAGAGTAATTGTCAAAGGATTGTCTGGTTGAATGGCATTGAACGGAGAAACAACCGACATCCAAATAGACTTTGTCCTGGCTTCGAATATGATCGGGGATTTTAATATTGAATGCCCGTTTCCATTGGCACTAACATTCCCTCTACTATTTTGCGCTTCAGGCCAGGGGTAGAGTCGAATATCATCGCGCTCCGATGTTCCCATAGTTATAAGGCTTGATTTTTCCCAACGAATGCTATGAAAAGATTGAAGTATCTGATCGTGTTCGGGTCTACTGCCCTTTAACAAGAGAAGGAAAGGGCAATGAGGAGCAACACATCCATTTCCAGAAGTTCTTGAACTGGCTCTTTTCAGCAATGAGGCATTTTTTCCTCTTTGTTGTAGAATGGGAGAATCGCTGCCGTTTGGTGGGGAAGAGGGATACTTTCTCAGCTCTAATCTACGACATAGGCCAGGAGCTGGTGCCATTAGTGAAAAGACATCCATAAGAGTGATGTTTGTTGGAAGTGACCGCGCACTTAACTCAGTAAATGTTTCTCCCGGGTCGATAACCACGTTGGCTCCATCAATGGCCTTCGAATTTGCCGGTAGCCGACCAATAACTTCGTACAAGGTACACATATCCATCACATGCTCCCCTTCCTTTTCTAGTAAAATAAGAACTTTGGCAACACAGCTAGCCACGGTGTCATCATTATGAACAAAGACGGTCTTAAAAATAGCAGAGGGACAAACACTGCCACAGTAGACACGAATATACCGGCCAATTTTCCCGGGGAGTGGCTCGAGTTCAGTAATCGATAGCTCACGGCCTTGACCTGGTATGCTTTGTGGTACTGTTATTGGGGGATTCTTTTTTCCGAGACCGGCTTGTGATTGTGAACTTGAAAAAATCCGCTTTAGTCGGCCAGTGGCTGAAGGTGGACGTCTTGTGTCTATCACCGACATTTCCGGCCTTATTGCTACCAGAGTAGAGGTATACAAAGAAAACGGAGAGAAAGTAAAATGTGGCAAGAATTGTTGCGTGTGTTTCTTGCTCTGCTCAGACAAAAATGAGGGCACTGCAAATGTGCGGTTTCAAGCACCAAAACTGTGCACACGAGTGGAGTTCAGGTGTAAGCGTGTGTTTTAATCCCATTGGTCGATGCTCCTCGATTTCTTATTGGTGGATGGAGGTGATCGCTCATCAAATCAGCAATGCGGGAACCGTAAAATGAGGTCATTTACTTCATTTGATAGGGAAATGCTTCAAGCATGACAAGAAATGACAAGAAAGTGCAAATATTAATAAGAGCAATTTTCTTGCGCTGCCTATTTCATAGTCAATTAGAATTATAAGAGAATACAGGATTTGTATTTATTCTGAGAACGAAATAATTAAATGACTTAATAAGTGTAATTATTACTACTAATACTTATTTGGTAAGACAAAGCCTTATCTATATCTGAAATCTATAATGAGGTGAGTGCATAAAGCGATCAGTGGTTGCTACTTAGATTGAGTAATTTCCATCTTATTTTATCTTAGATTATCCGAAAGGAACAGAGAAACATTTACCCTCCTGTATTTTACTTATTATTGGCAGAGGAAGATAATATTTCAGGATTACGGGATTGTAAGGTCGTCAGAGAGAGAAGAGGGGAAGGGAGGAAGGGAGGGAGATTTTATAAAACTTTTAATGTTACGCAATGTTAAACACCCATACACATAGACAATGGAAGTAACTCAGGTCCACTAGACATGAGTGGTAATAGAGTGAGTTCGATCGATTCCCAATTTGAAGGGGAGCTTTGAATAGGAAAAATATTGGTCCTTGAGGTTCTAACAATGAATGCAAAGCATGATAAAGTATGAAATATTAATTTATATCAGATGGCAGTCTGGCCCTTTAGTTGAATTCGGGCTTCACAGAGGGGAGGAAGAGACAAAGTCACAAAAGTGGGGAGGGGAAACAAGAGTAGTTAGTAGACACAAAGGTAGAGAAAAAAGTAAGGTAAGTACTGTGGAAGTGGTTGAATATGGCTTGCAGTGGGGTCATGGAAGTTTGAAGTCAGAAGTCAACTGCCGGTTTATGAACTTTTTGCCGTATGAGTATTTGTTGCCCAGGGTTCACCACATGGAGGTAAGTCTATCGCGTACCTCTGGTATGAAATAGGGGGAGGGGCATTGGGGAAAAGTGAGTGGGAAGAAATGGGTGATAATATATTGAAAAGTGTGGGGTTTGCACCCTGGGCAACGAATATTCATACGGCAAAACAGTCTAGTAACCGGCAGTTGACTTCTAACTTTAAACTACCATGACTCCACTTCTTGTCATATTCTACAACTTCCACGATACTCACCTTACCCTTTCTCTGCCTTTGTGTCTGTCTATCTCTTGCATCCTTGAATCACTTTTCTATTCCCCCTCGCGAATTTTTCCCACTTTGATGTTTCTCCCCTCTGCGACGTCCGAAGTCAGCTAAAGGGCTAATGATAACTATCAAAAAGCCTGCAATTTGAAATAAATAAAAAAGTATTGAAAAGTGTCAGAGGAAAGGTCACATGAACGTAATTAAAGTGATTGGCTACTGAGCGAGGGTGCAGGCAAAATCTCAAGATAAGGAGAAGATAGCCAAATGACTTGATTGGTTGGATTTAGGTTTGAGAAAGGCACATCTTAGGACCCGAATTGTATTTTATTTTACGTCTGATAACTGGGTCTTTTTTCATATCGAAATATCTAACAGTGGATGAGGGCTTATATATGATCCTTTTCATAAACTTCGGCACCATGTAGAGTAGCAAATCGTGCATCCTAATCTGTGGATGATTAGATTCTGACACTAACCTCATCTAGGTTTAGGAGGGAAAGAAAAGGTTTTAAATAAAGGCAATATTTGTTCACATTATTTGAAATCATACTTGTAAAGGATTAAAAAAATGAAAAAAAGTGCTAGATTAGATATTTTCAATTAATTTTAGCCATAATCAAGTATTCTATAGCAGAATTTTGGTCTATTTTATGCTCCTTGCAGTTTGTATACTCTAATAAACGATGAATGCTCTTCGGTTCACCAACTGAACTTCTTCCAGGACAGTGTCAACTTTCGAAAACCTCCCAGTCTAAAACTCAAAGCTCAATTCCGATGCGTGATGTGCGATAGACTTACCTCCACGTGATGCACCCTGAGCAATGTATAGTCATACGCCAAAAATGTCTATTAGCCGGGCAGTTGACTTCTCAATTCACGCTATCATGACTCCACAACTACTACAGTACTCATCTCACCTTTTCTCTACCTTTGTGTCTGTCTATCTCTTCCACATCCGTGAATCACTCTTTTGTTCCCCCCCCCCCCTCGAATTTTTCTCACTTTAATGTTCCTCCTCTCTGTGAAGCCCGAAGCCAACTAAAGGGCTAATGGTAACTATCAAAAAGGCTGCCATTTGAAATAATAATAATAATAACTTTCCGATGCTGTTTCACAAGATTAAAATTATGTAAGCAAGGGATGAAGGCGATTATTTGGAGATCTGTCTAATCCAGAGGGAAATTTTTACTGCTTGACAGGATGCATGAAGAATTGCACACAAAAAAGAACATTAAATTCCTAAATCTGCTCTCATGGAAGGCTAATTCATGCACTATTCCCTTGGAGCTGGCATTACATGACAATCTGACAGATTACCCGCCGAAGACGGGTAAGTGACGAGAAATGGAAATAGAAGTAATTGCAAGAAGCTAACGCACTTAACTTGAAATAAACAAAAATAAACATTCTTACATTTCCATGCGCTTAGTAGTAGTGATAGTAGTAGTAAAAGTAGTAGTGTAAATTGCGAAGACATCACAAAACGGAGGTTCCACTCCCTCCATTGCTTCCCTAGAGGGCAAAGTTGCCATCTTGTAGATAATTTTGTAATGCCCTAATTCCCTCCGAGCATATCAATAAGTCCATGTCTCCGATATTCAGGTCAAAATGATTGGATGATTTGATTGAACGGTTGGTCAAATTGACTATGTGCCTCACAAAAGCATAGTAAATATTTATTTCGAATGGCAAGATTTTTGCTACTTATCATTACCTCTTTAGCTGACTTCGGGCTTCCCAGAGAGGGGAAGGAACATCAGAGTGAAAAAAGTCGAAAGGGATGTGGCAAAGAAGATTGTTTCAAAGATGTAAAAGTGACAAACACAAAGGTATAAAAAAGGTGAGGCGAGTAATGTGGAAGTAATCAAATTTGACATACAGCGGGGTCATGGTAGTTTGAAGTCATCTGCCGGTTAATAGACTTTTGCCGTATGAGTATACGTTGCCCAGGGTGCACCACGTGGAGGTAAGTCCATCGCACACCCCAGCATAGTAAATATAAAGTGGGTTACGTATAAAGAGCAAATGTACATTTTATTGGATGAGATAGATAAAATATAGATTCCTCAATATGTTCAATAATATTGAAGCATAAACCATTACCTCTTCTACTTCCATTCAAGAGGCGCTAACTCGCCATTAAACTCTACTTCATGTCCAAGATTACATCAACTAGGAAGAAAGCACTGAATTGTAAAATTTTACAGCCTAGTCTAAAGGCCAGAAATTTTGGAAGGAAAATTGATAAATACCCCCCCCCCTTCCAAAGAAAATGGACTTTTCAACCTTTTAACCTATTTTGACTTCATGTTGTAATCTGATTCAATGGAAATTAGCATAACTTCGTTTATAGTCAAAAAAATTATTATTTTTAAAAAAAACGATTTGTTCCAACCCCCTTTTTTAATGATTTTAAAATTTAACATTTTCTCAAGGAAGGAAAAATGATTTCAAAAAAATAAAGTTTTTTTTTCGAAGTTATTTTGCAATCATAAAGAGCATTTCAATACGCAAATTTGGTTAATGCAACTGAGATATTATCAGCTGAGCCAATTAAAATTTCCTGCCTAAGAGTAAACACAAGTTCAGTTCATGTTACGGAGGGACAAAATTTCCTGTATCGTCTCCTCCACCTTGGCGACCTAATGAAATCAGGTCATGGTGTGGGAACTTGGGTTAAGGTCATGTCTGATCTGTATTTGAAAAAAAAACGCGCTGATATTTTAACAGAGAGAGAGAGAGAGTGGGGTATTGGGAGGATTTGTTGACCAAAAGGAGAAGAGAATTGTGGTTTTTTCTTCGATGTAATTATTTATTTTTTATATCAAATAGTAGGCGTTTTGATGGCTATCATTAGCCCTGTAGTTGACTTCAGGCTTCACAAAGGGGAGGAGGAACATCAAAATGAAAAGAAGTCGAGTTAGGGGGGGGGGAACAGAAGAGTGTTTTAAAGATGTAAGTGACAAACACGAAGGTAGAAAAAAGGTGAGGTGAGTACTATGGAAGTAATCGAATATGACACAGTCAGTGGGGTGATGGCAGTTTGAAGCCAGAAGTCAACTGCCGGCCAATAGACTTTTTGCCGTATGAGTATACGTTGCCCAGGGTGCACCACGTGGAGGAAAGTCTTTCGCACACCCCTTTTTCATCGATGTAATATGCCGCATCAATTGAGGTAAAAACCCTTCGAAAGCATTATTTGTTTTCAATTGCCGAGGGTAATATTATTACAGAATAGGTTAAAAAAGGCACAAAAAACAACTTTATAGAAAAAAAATCGCCAAAATAGGTATGTATTCTAATGTTAGAGGCTCATCATCATTTTTAAGTATTATCGGTGTAGTTCCACGGATTTCGCTGTATCACAGGTAGGACAGTTGCGTTGAAGGAAATTTAACTTTGCCTTGGCTTGGGTCAAACAAGGTTAATAATGTTTTATAGAGACAAGATAAGCGTGATACCAAAGTGAACCCTTCGTTTTACCTTCACCATCTTCAACTGCATCTCCTTTGTCAATCTGAGCTGTTGAAATGGAAAATTTGCAATAGGTTGTGAACAAGTTAAAATGTGTGTCCTCTGACGGTTCTCTGCTT